ACAGGACATTCTCACACAGGTCACTGTAGTGCCATTTAAAGCGGTCAGAGTGATATAGTGCAGGTTAACAGGTTAACTGATAGTTCTGCCAGAAGGACTGACACATCTGTAACAAGCATTATGCCTGATACCCTTTACCCAAATTCTCATCGTCCCAGCCACATTCTTACCAGACCCTCGCACATCCAGCATGCAGAGTACTAAAGCAGTAAGTATTGAAGAGTCTTATCAAACCACTGTGCTCTTGATAGGTGAGGCCTCACTTCAGATATGGATTATGTGTTAATGTGAAAAGTGTCTGGCTTTTGCAAAAAGAAAATAAATGCCGTAAACAACACACACTGGGCCATACCTTACCAAGAGAGACATTCCAGTTTACAGATAAACCCCAAAATATGACTCACACTCTTCATTAACAGATGTGGATTCTGTATGTATTCCTTTTATCAAGCATTTGGTCTTAATTAAACTTTCAGTTCATGGTTTTTACACCAAAGAAGTTTTTTTTTAGAGTTGAATGTGAGTTATAGATTGAATTTGAAATTAATAAGTGGCTGTAAAGACAAATGCTGGCCTTTACTGGTCACAGATGTTTTTCATAAATGTGATTTTGTCGTATTTTACTGCTTCTGCAACACTTGAAAGACAACTGCTGTGAAATGAGACCCATTTCTCATGCTCTCGCTCGTTGTTATTGTGACTCTTTATATTCCATAAACATATAGACGACAGCTCAGGCTTACAGGCGTCATTCACCAGCACACATGTTTGAGCACCGCATACATTTATAACCAAGTTCCATCATTGTTTGGCCTGTTTTATGCAGAGTTGTTTGTTTTTTCTTTTTCAGCAAGAACCAAAAATATGAATTGATGCAATGTACAGTTTTTCGCCCACAGATATTCCAATTGCTTTTCCACGTATCCCACCCTTGTGCTTCAGCTTTTGGTGCTGAATGAAATGTGACTGACATTTCTGCGTGAGCATAAATCATTAAACCAGAAAGCTGGAGAAAAAAAAAACTTACCATAGCCATACGCACATACTGAAGGCAGATGTTTAGTCTGTGCTTGTCACTATTATTATCGTATCAATCTTCATTAGTCTGCTTACAGTGATCAAAACTCAGAGTGTTTAGGAAACTGGGCCAGAAAGACACTAGACTACATTAAATAGCTTCCTGCCTGTCATTTTTTACCTTTTCTTCATAAACACACACATGGAGCTACACCAAGCATGTCAAATGACAATGCACTGGAGGATTAATGTACATTTCCACATGTGAGTGAGCTCTTTCATCCTTGTGCCATACGCGCAAAAAAAACCGACAGAATCCACCCAAGAGTGCATAAACACAGGAAAACAATAAGCATGCATTCACAAGCAGAAACCCCCCCCCCACACACACACACACACACACACACACACACACCTGTAGATTATATGACGGTTACCATGATGATGGATGAGAATACACACAGAGCCAGATGGTCACTTCCACATATCACTCCAGTGGCGTGACCCATTCCTGCTTTTAACCATCCGTAACTGCAGAGCACAGGTCTGAGCTGGGTTTCCCATTACTAACCCTTTAACTGAGGAACATATCCTGAAGCCGAATCCCATGAAACAGGGCAAAGGCTGGTTATGTGATGTGTTTTTTGACATTGTTTTTCGACTATCTGAGCTTGGATGACACACTGTGTGGGTTCTGCCTGTTATGTTTGGACAAAGGTAGAATGAATTACAATGCTGTGGTGCCATGGAAACCATGGAGAATAGGCAACCTACTTAGGGCCTCACCTGGCGGTTAGCAGCTCTCAGTAGCAAGGCCATACTTTGAAAAGTGGTTACAAGTAGGATTTTATCATGGAGATGTGCCAGGGGTCTTTACACCATCATTTTCACACTAAGACAACCGTAACACACCTGGCTTCTCAGTCAGAGTAGGCCTCGCATCGAACACAACGCAACACAAACTCCAAGATAGAACCTCCAACCTGCACAAACATGATACACATTTTTGTGACTCTGATTTTTTGAGCACCCAAGTTATTTCATCTACTGTTATCACTGAAATATGGCAAAGAAACAATTACTGCAACACATTTTGAAAGTCCGTTTTATGTATTCAAGTAAAAGACTTCAACCGGCCATATGATAGCCACCTGTGTAAACGGTTGGAGTATCTAGTGGCTCTTAAACACTGGATTCTAAGATTGCTGCTGAGGGAGACCAGGGGCCTGACCTCTGTTCAGCAGAATGGAGCCCTGCAGGGGGGGTCCGTGGTAGACATACACTAATATACACATCGTTTCATGCATTAATGCATGCACATAAACTCACTCAGTAAAGTCTATCTTGCTTTTATAATCTTCATTTCCGCATTTACTTTATTACTCTCTCACAGTGTAAAACTGCAGTTCAATGCACATTATTATTAGACACTTGCATGAGCAATAACATTGCAGGGGGGCTAGGAGGAGCGCGACATGTCCGTCTCTGCGGGTCGGGAACAGGAGGTGAGGGAGGTTGTGTGTTGAACACGGGGCGGATATTGACACAGCATTAGCATGAATGAAAATATTTTTCAATGTTCGGAGAGCATGAAAAGGAGCGCCGCCAGACGTTTGGACATGGCCTGTTCAAACAAACTGGAGACATCAGCACTCAATCAAACAGTCTTTTCACACACGTCTGCCTCCTGAAGTGCTACAGCTACACAAAGGTGGTTTCATGTACCCTGGCACAGATTTTAATGACCATGATTTTTTACCCTCTGAATTGTTTCACGTTCAACGAGCTCGACAAATTTCTCTGCAGTGCAGTGCATGCTGGATAAATATTCAAGGAATTGGTGAAATCCCAGGGACGCGAGAGGGCCCTGGGTACAAGCTACTTGGCGCGGTCAGAATATACAAATGGAAACATCAAGGGCTGAAAGAACAACACAAATCAAGGAAAAAAGGAGGGAAGCAGGGTGGGAGGGTGAAAAAGGAGTAGCGGAGGTGGGGGATTGAGCTGCTGCTGTTTTTGTTTTTGACTGATTACTGCTATTAGACCTGGTAGAGGAGGGAGAGACCTGTGCAGTTACTGAGGGGCGGATGTAAGTGGATGCCGTACCCACTGCCCGGCGTGCATTAGCGTTTTGAAACAGCTATTAATCTGCCATGGGGGCTTTTACGATCGGAAATAAGAACCGTCGGGGACATACTCTCATCTGCAGGCTGCATGGGGGGGGGGGGGGGGTGATGAAATTGTGTGTCACTGTCGGTCGGCGCCAAGAGAAGCTGACGTTGACCAGTTGTCTCACCCTCAACAACAGATGAGTCTTTAATTGCACCAGGCAATGAAATAACAGGGATAGTGTATGTTACCAGACCCCCTCCTCCCTCATCCCCATCCCCATCCCCACTTCCAAACCCCCCCCCCCCCCCCCCCCCCCCGCTGCATACAAAGTCCTTCTGTTCTGGCAGGGAACAGGTGCAATGTGGGAGTTGGAGTCATCAGATCCCAGGGTGGTGCCAAAGGGGTGTGTGGGTGCAGCTGCTACAGTTAAATGTTAATCATGTAAATTCCATATTAAAGACTGTGCCTTGATGCAAAGGCAAGTTGTTCTTGTTCCCGCTGTGCATACATTCCTTTTCAATTGTCTGCCTCCCCTTTTTAATGACACATGTTTGCATTGTTTTTTGCAAGATAATCTGATATTGTCTACAATATGCAATCAAACCATTTTCCTCTATCAATGACAAACTTGGGAAATGTTTCCTTTTAATCCCCGTTCTACCAATTTAAAAAAAAAACAATTCCACCAGACACAGATTTCAAGATCAACAAAAGGAAACTTTTTTTTCTTTCTTTCTTTGCACACTGATGGAATGCTCCCATTTTTTTTGGGGCTCGGCATGACTCAATGGTGTTGTCACCACACAGCCATGAGAAAGACAGAGAGAAACAGATGTATTACAGAGAGATTTACCGGAGACAGTGTGACGCTTTGCACCAGTAACTGGACGCCTTTTGGGTACTTTTCCTGCGGGATATGTGTAAAAAAAATTCAATAATGAATTCAGTCACATCTTGTCTGAGTGAGAGCGAGTGTGTGCTTGTTAAGCTGAATCTGAGAGCTTAAAGAATAAGGATACAAGGACAAATTACAAGGATGTTTATCAATGAGTGGTATTATTTTACACAATACTTGCAACACCTGAGAGCCTCACACACAGCTACAATAACACAAACCTTACTAAAAGAAAGAAGATAAGCAGTTCCAGAGGAAGAATTTGCAAAGTCTGTTATGCTATATCAATGAAGGCCGTCACAAGGACAGAGTTTATAAGAAGGTTTTACACGACCGAGGAGTGTGAGAGATGGGTAGACAGATAAACACAAGGAGAGTTAAGGGAGAAGAAAAGTTGCCATGAAAGGAACCTTGTTCATGGAAATCCATGGTAACAGCAATAATGACTACCCAAATGGAAACAAACACAAAGAGAGAGAGAGAGAGCAATAATTGAAAATGAAAGAGGTGCCAGAGGTGAGTTAAGAGGCTGAAAAGCTTTAGCTATAAGGTCCAGGTTAATGCAGCAATAAGAGGTGGTGGTGGTGGTGGTGAAGGAGAGGGAGGAGGGGAAGGGGAGAGAAGAGGAGAAGCAAAGGGGTGGTCTGTGGAGTGACATGGGAGGCAGGGGAGAGTCTCACCGCCTGGGAGACTCGGCACACTTAATCCCGCTGCCTGGGAGGGAGAGAGAGAGAGAGAGAGAGAGAGAGAGAGAGAGAGAGAGAGAGAGAGAGAGAGAGAGAGATCTCAAAGCAATCTAGAGGAGGGAGCAGGCAATTTTCAGGCTGATACACACTCTATGTTTCCACCACACACACACACACACCACAGCATGGCAGGTGGCCTCTGCCCAGATCAGTAGCATGTGGTTGAAGCCATCTTAACTGACTCTCTGAGGTTTTTGGAGCTGAGGTTTTTTGGGATCCTCCCTGCACTGTTGGAGCGTGAGCAGAGTTAGGAGCTTCACTTTCTTTCCCCCAGTGCAGAGAGACAGCACGCCAGGCACGAGGCTAGCCTACTCCTCCCCTCTCTTCCTCCCCTTTCTCCCACTCTGCCTTTTTTTTTTTTTTTTTTTTCCTTGCTTTTTCCTGGGCTACTGTCCAGAGAATGACTGGCTCCAGTGGACTTCAGAGGAGGAACACAGCCTGAGGAAACAGTACTACAGGAGCTCCCAGCCCTTGCCTCAGCCTGCTGGGACAGAGAGGTTTTACAAATCAGCACCTCCTTTACCTTTGCGAGATTTCTTTTTTTTTTTCTGTCATCAGATCACAAGAGGACTGGATCTAAGCTGGGCGTACAGACAGAAGGACTGACATATGGACAGAGCAGTGGGCACTGCGGCATGAATGTAGCAACTGGACTTCCTCTCCTCTCCGTGGTTACTACAACCAAAACAAGGATAATCGTCAGATCACCTTCCTGTCCACTGAGGTGGTGGGTGGATGCAGCATTCAGCAGACTGCTATAGGGGGAACGCAGAGACTGTATAGAAGCTGCAGAAATACATCACCACAAAAAAAAAAAAAAAAAAAGGATTTTACCTCCAAGCAGACTTATAGTTTGTGGAAACTTGTGGGGGTAAGACAGTGGACTTTTCTCTCTTTTTCATGGACTTTGCTGACCCTTCTTAAGGGGACTTGCAGGATTTTTCTGTTTCAAATTAATGTGAAGCGCTCGTCCCAACTATGATGGAAGAGTGCTTAAGGACTGTGAATCTGACGCTGATGCTGCTGTGTCTCATCCTGCTGGGTACAGCTCACAGCATCTACCCAAGGATACGACTCTCCCACAAAGGTAAGAAATCAAAGTGGGCGTTTCTTTCATAACCTTGAATCTGCTCTTGCAAACAAATGCAATTGCTCTGCTTTGTTACCCAGATATAAAGGGCAAATACAAGCCTTTGGCTGATGCTAGCTGACTGTTCAGAAGCATCAACTGGAAGAAGCATTTTCTGTTTTACTGCTTTCCATGCAGGTTGGGACTAAAACAGGTGTAACTGAGCAGAATGTTGATCATCCTTTACACTTCCACGCTTTATTTATGGGAGCACTGACTGCAACTTTTTTTCTTTGTGGTCGTGAAAGTGAATATTTCAAATAGTTATTTATACCTATTTTCAGGGTTTAACAAGTGATGGCACCCTCAAGTTAAATGCAAAGTACAAATATGTTTGTAGGTATTTAACTTGTGCAGAAAATGTATTGTAAACTAAATAAAGTCAGAGGAGGAGCATCCTGTATGCAAATGAAATATGCTGCAGGAAACCTTTATCATGGTGGTCATTGAAGATTCATGTTTAAACCTTAGAGAAAGAGAAACGAAATGCAGAGTTGGATCTAATAGGCCGTCTTTGTAAATAAGAATCTGTTCTTAATGACCTGCCTGGTTAAATAAAGGTAAAAAGAAAAAGAAGAAAACTTTGTGAAGTTTGATTTTTTTTTTTTCTATGCATGCTGATGGTGAAGGAGCTCTCTCTCTCCACAGTTTGTTTTGATCCGTTGGACATGCTGGCTGAGAATACACAATGTGGCTTTCTCTCATGCCATAGTGGCAGCGAGATGGAGGATTTTTTTTTTCTCTTTTCAGGGGAAGAAAGTGAAAACTGTTTGTGTGTGTGTGTGTGTGTGTGTGTGTGTGTGTGTGTGGGAGTGTGTTATGTTGTGGTGCATGCAGTGGTATGTTGTCTGACTCTCGTGTATCTCTACCATGATAATGAGGGTTTTATCTTCTGATGGAAGATGACACTCTTGAGTAAACATCACTTTTTTTGCCTCACAGTTTCTTTGATCTCTATGGCAACAGAAGGTGATGATTCCACATAAGCCCGTTAGTCATGGTTGAATATAGGTGTAGAATTTGGACGGTCAATAACTCAAGTACGGAGCTGAGAATCTGCTATGACAGGTTTGCCTCATCAGTCATGAGGAGGGTTTGTTGTTTGTACTGTTTTTTTTTTGTATATGTTCCCTTTTTCAAATAGTGGAATTTGTCAGGGGCAACACAACAAGTAATTAACCCGTAGTTCTTCTGTGAGAAGTGAGGGGAATGGAGGACAAATATTGGTTGAAACGGAAAGCTAAACAGATGCTGTTAGTCAAAGAAGAACAAAGTTCATACATCAATAAACGTGAGCGGAACAGTGCTGATGTGCTTAGTCATGGATGTCACATCAGTATTTGTTATTATCCTGACTTTTCTATATCACCCAATTCCTTAAGTGCCTGAGGGGAAAGCTGCTACAGTGATTGGCATCCCACCTATCTCTCTCCCCCCCCCCCCCTCTCTCTCTCTTCCCATCCCCTGATACATGTTCTGGCTAGCACATAGCGCCTTGAAAAGACTGCAGTTGGATCCTATCATTATGGAATGAAAAACATCTAAGCCTTAATATATGCCTCATGGACTCTGCCGGTGATTTTTGCACACACCCTTAAGTTCACAAGAACTTAAAACCCACACACACACACACACACACACACACACACACACACACACACACTACCACACGCACACTCCACAGACACACACTCACATGCACATCCACAGGCTGAGTAGTGTGAATTCTTCACACACCAGTGACTTGGATGCAGTTCAGGGAGACGGAGAGGGATGGAGTTTTTAATTATTCACCCTAAGGATTAAGAAAATATTACCATAACATCTGCTATCACAACTTTAAGATTCTCCTCTTTATCCGAAAGAGTGAAAGAGCACTAGATTATATCAGAGCTGAAATATTTTCAAACCTGCTTCTGGTTAGACACGCAGATTCCAAGAGCTGGATCAATAGAAATATCCGTTTTCTGGGAATTAATTCCTTTGGGCACTTCGTCATGTGTTTCAGGGATAATCTTCCTACCGTGCAGTATGGATCTGTGCATGCTTTGATGTTTGCTTCACCTCACACATGGCGTGGAATCATCATCAAACTCTCTTCCATCTTCTTGTCTTAGATCTTCGGACCAGTGAAAATGACTACTTCAATGTACTTTTAAGATGTAACTTTAACAACATGGAGTATAAAGTTATGATCACAGGCTGTATGTGGTCTGAAGAGACAGCTGACCCTTTGACTGCACAGCTTCCAAAGACCATGAACGTGGACCGGTGGACTAATGGTTATACACCTCAATTGCTTTGAGTTTTGACCAATTGAACTCTGATATCCCTGGATGAATTGATGTAGAAATGTCCTTCTTGAGATGTGCTCCCTTAGAGCAACAATAATGATGTTCTTTCGATTAAATTTAGCCATTGGACACACAAATGAGGCTGCCCTTTGCAGCAGTTTCAAATCCGGACCTGTGGAGGCCACGTGGAGTGAAATGAGTTCTTCTTTTAGGACATATATTCATTCTGCTGCTAATGAAGCTGTGGCACAGCTTGTAAGTGTCAGAGTGCCAGCAGGCTGCAGGTAGATTGCCAGGTTTAGATTCATGTTGCAGCTTTTTTCTAGCACCGTCATGCTTGGCTAGTGCTGCAGAGAGTGTGATACAGCAGTTTGCACATTAGAGATGACCTAATCAGATCAAAGTCACTTCCCAAAACTTCTTCTAGAAAGTTTAATATGCTGACTAATTAAGGCATCTTTGCAGTGACTTCTGAATGTATTAAATGTTAAAGACCAGCATGTTCATTGTAATACATCAGTGTTTAAGGATCGATTGAGATGATAAGTTCTGGGTTTAGGGAAGCAAAAAAAAATAACCTCCACCTAAATAGTCAAAACCTGCCTGGAACTGCTCCAGCAAAATGCACTTACAGCAAAAGCTGTATGGTTGCATTAAAATAATTGATAGTAACAAATTGCTGTCAAGTAGTTATTGCATAGCATACTCTGTAATCTGTTGCTCCCAAAAACATGTCTGAGTTCGGTTAAAGTTAGAACACCTTTAATAAACGAGCAGATACATATATATATATTTTTTTTACACATTACAGTACTTGAATTGCTCTGACATTCCATCCGCATGTCTGCCAAGAGGTGTTCTCTTTGGGCTCTCCCTGATCATTACATAAAGTTCAGAAGAAAAGATGTTTAAAAAGCATTCAGGCTCAACTTACTCAAATACAATACGCTTTCAAGGCTTTATATTTCGCATGCAGCCGAGGTACCTGCATGCGTGCACACAAGGATTACTCAGGTAGCAATTACTGATGTATGAAACCCCCCTTTGAGCTGTAATTTTAAACCTTCTTCTCCAGACAAGAAAAAAAGCTCTCTCTTTATTTTACATCCTTGGAATGATGTGGCTGTATGGTGACTTTCCTCTGAGGGCGAGATGGGGGAATACCAATGTGGCCTCAAGTTGTTTCTGCCTGAAAGCTAATGTGCAAAGTGAGGCGTCCTCTTAAATGTCTTCATGTGCAGAGGCCTATAATTAACATTTACCACGTTGGACCATGGCCATGGGGCAGTCACAAGGCCTTATATCATGAACAGTTGGAAAATGGAGGGTATATGGTGATGATTATATAAATCACACCTTTTAGGTCAGCAAAAGGAAAACGGTATTTTTTCAAACCCCTTCCCCTTCCCCTCCTCTCCTCTCCACCGCTCTCCCTCGCTTTCTCATTTTGTCTGTGTACATCTCAGCGGCCTCTCCTCTCCCATTGTGTTATGTGTGTGCGCTCTCGATGTCATTAATGAGATGTCCAGAGGGGAAGGCAGCTGGTGAAACTCTAATATCCTTTCTGACCTTTTCCCCACGCAGGGACCACAGCGGAGAGAGGGCACGGAGTCCTCAGTGTACATTATAGTGATATTACAAGAATGATGAGTTAGTGAGAACTTCCAAACACAGAACTGCTCGGCTGAGATTGTGTTTTGTAGACTGGAAGTTTAGAGCAAAAGCATCCCTTATGTCACTGTAGAGAGGGTTGGCTTTGGCTCAGTGGTAGAAAGGGTTGACTCTCAATTGGAAGTTTAGAGGTTCAATTCCCACTCCCACTGTTCATATATCAGTGTCATTTGGCAAGACACTGAACCCCGATTTATTCCTTAAAGTCTTTATATGTGATTTTTCACACTTAAATGTAATATAAATCAAGTATCTCCTCTGAAAATAACTCTCTGAGTCATGACTGTCTACAATGGGTGTAACACCCGAGTCCCACTGTCTGTGATGCTTTCAGAGTTTTCAGAGTCCTATCTTCACTTTGTTTACATCGCCAGGACGGCCGGCTGACTCCTCCCCTCGTGTATAAAAGTTGTTTAATTGAGGGACTAGAGAAAAGAAGAATAACATACTGTACTCACTGCTTAACTGTGTTTCTAGATCACACTCATTTCAGGTAAATTTACATGCAGTGTGAAGATACCAGCATAATAAAGATCGCTAGCATTAGCATGCTAACACAACAATGCAGCGCGAGTTGTTTTGGTTTCATGCTGGTGCTCAAGGGCGACATCTGCTGGATCAAAAAATCACATATAAAGCCTTTAAGGCATTTTATGACGTTTGTGAACGTGTAGGAATGAGGTGAGTTCATACTGATAACACATGACATCCTCTATCATCAGTGTATGCTCTTTGATTGAATAGATGAATGTGACATAATGAGTGGACAATTTTTTTGGAACATCACTGCAGAAAACCTTTGGTCTAATTTACATTCGTAGTAAAAAGTGAATAAATGCAATAACTCAGGTAACAAAACAGCAAATGAATGTAATGCAAGTTTAAAATACCTCAATCTTTTATCCCAATGCTGTTGATGACATTAGCTGATGAGAATGATGTCCAACTTTCCGGAACAATGGTGTAGTGATAAAAGAAACCCTTCTGACCAAGTATGTGTTTTTTTTTTGTTGGATGGGCCTTTGTCTAAAGTCAGTCTGGCAACTTCAGAAGTGCGTCATAAGTTGGGGTTGAAAGACAAAATCAAACAGCAGTGAGCTGCAAAGATTTGTAAAATGCTAAACAGTCGGCGGATGGAAGCTGAAACACTATTGGACAACACTAACAACAAATGAGAAACAGAACACTTCTTATACCAAAAAGCATGTCACTCTCATACAGATTCTGCACGTATAGGCCTAATCTGTTTAAAGAGATCAGGGTAACGAAAAATTGAATCTAACAGTTTGCAGACATTGCTTGAAACAACTTCTATTCCAAAATCAGATCGCTTTCTACAAGACTTAAAGCTAAGCCCTTTGACATACAGTAAGCCACATCAACAGCCAATTCAATCGGACTCCAGGGTCATATAAATGCACGGTTGAGGTAGTGTAGTTTGGAACAGATGGGGATAGACTTTAATTAAATGTCAGTCAAAGACAGAGCACTACTTCTTTTACCAAAGCTTATTAAAACATGCCATATGTATACGTGAAAGGCTGCAGTGTTTGATTGAGAGGTATAATACTGCATCTATTGGGGATGATAAAAACACAAACTGTAAGTTTGCAGAGGAATTATTTTAATTTATAACATCAATCAGGTGAGAGACTTACATTTGGTCTTTATTTCAGACACAAATATTGCTTTTTTTCTCTCTCTCTTAGACACTCCATGTGGTTTTCATTTTGCTCTGTGACATCATTCTCCCTGCACACACACAAGAGGATAAGGGAACACAAGGCTGTGTGCTGATAATGACATGACACCCCCAGTTCCCGAGCTCCTGACCCCCTCCCCCCAGGGGCGCCACACTCACGACACACGGAGAACAGACTCTCTACTTATTGTGGTCGCTTTAAACTCAAGTTCACTCCAATAACTCTGTGCCAAAGTCCCATCACTCAGTGAGTAAGCCTCCATAGGATTACTGCTTTGGGAACATGGGTTTAATTATGGCACAAATATATGGTCAATACATCGGCAATAGATCATAAAATTATAGATTATTGAGTCTGTGTTTTTATGTTTCAGTGGGTTTCATTTATTTTGACTAAAAACATGAATGTTTCACCGCTGCTAACAGACTCCTGCTGAAAAGTAGGTTACACCGATTACACACACACACACACACACATACACACACACACACACACACACACACACACACACTCATTGTTCTCCCCCGGCACAGTTTCCACACGCGGATAACGAGGAGATCCCAAAGTTTATTTTGATTTCACTTCCCCAAATCTTCTCAGGCATCTCTCAGCACTCCTCAAGACAGCCGATGAAAGTGTCTGTCTGGAGGGAGTCCTTTTTTTTTCCCTCCCTGCTTTCCATTTGAAGTGGGATCACAGTATAGGGCTGTGTGTCTCCTTGGCTCAGTTGCTGATGGAGAAACACCCTCCTCTTCCTCTCCCTTCCTCTCAACTCTGTATAGCTGACGGCTAAGCAAATGATGAAAATACTTGGAGAGAGAGAGAGAGAGAGAGGAAGGAGAGGGGAAATGCGGAAATCCCCCTTTTCCCTTCTTCAGTCTGAGCTGTGGCTGCAAGTCTGCGACTGTCTGTTATACTGTGATCATAATGACAGGGGAGAAAAAACCTTTAAACAGCAATGTGCCTGCTGATCCGTCTCCCCGCGTGTCACTGTAATCAGATCCAACAATTGTTGCTTCACGACTCTGTAATCATGTGTAATTAAGCAACACCTTCTTTTATTATTTAAGTGATTATAGTTTATTTGTGTTTCCAGGTGGGAAATGGATTTTTGCTTTTGATTTTTAAAGGTCGGTTTGAGCACACATGCACGGAAAGGAAAGGAATAAACGTTCGAATAAATCTAGTTACAAAAAAAGTAGATGTATCTGTGTTGCATTTAGGTGCAAGAGGGCCTCTATGCATCTCCATGTGTTTATATGTAAATCTGCTCCCTCTCATTATTATTCAAGATGACAAGTGAAGACTGGATGGAAAAAAAACATCTGGAATATGTAGTGTTTACTCCATCTCTAGATATAGTTTTCTAAATCTGTCATCTGAATAACTGGCCGCAGATCTTACTTCATGTAGAGAAGGAGCTGATTGTTATGGAGCTGGCCTAACTGTAGTGGAATGTCCTTGTTCCAAGTTAAGCTTAATTTAGAGGAAACTGTGAGGAGATAGAGGACAGAGACACTGTGAATGTGTGTGTGTGTGTGTGTGTGTGTGTGTGTGTGTGTGTGCGTGCGAGTACGAAAAAAAGAGCTCCAAGTGTGTGTGTGGAATAGATAATTACAGGAAGCATGTCTGAGCCCTGGCAGAAACAGAAACACTGCCACTTCCCCGCACCTTCTGCTAACCTAACTTGTCGAGATCGAACGATACTCAAACAAACAGTCCCCTTGTCTCCAACACAGAAATCTTAACAGCGACTAAATATACACGTTCACCCACTCCTCTGTGGATACCTAATCCCATATTGGACAAATAAAACCCCTCGCACTTGAGTGACTGTTGCTGTGAGTCATTTAGAAAAAAAAACGGGATAAACACTCTCTCTGTCAATCTTGAAGCTCAAATACCAGTAAAAATATACAGATGCTAGAAAAGCAAATCATACAATTACCCCCTGCAGCCCCGTCATGTCAAGACTTCTTTTTCTTTTTTTTGAATTGTTGACAGGTTGGGAAATGGGTAGCATTTTTTTTTTCCTCTCTTAGTAGTGCATGGGTGGCCCTAAAGTCTGCATAGATGTCACACAAATGTGAAGAGTTCTACCTGTTAAATATGAATTATTTTTCGCAAACTGCGGCTTGTCTGCTTGAATCAGTCTGAGATTTTAGAAAGGTGCTGCTAACACAACCCAGATTCCCCCTTTTTTTTTTTTTTTGCTTGTGTGCTTGCTAACTATCCGTTTACCTGCATGGTCTGTTGTCATAGTGATGAGCATGTGTTTTTATGTGGAGTGACATGTCTGTCATGGACCGATGCTTCCTTTTTTGGTGAAGGATTTGAAATCACCTAAAGCAAAAGGGAGTGGAAGCTGATCTCAAACTCATCGGCTCATGGAGAGACTTGTTCTGTTTCCTGTTTAAAAAGACAGCTTCTTAAGAGACATTAGGTCACACTATGTGCATCAAATGACCCTCCAGGTGATAACAACATCTTTCCCATGACTCCTTTTATTATATTTCCATAAAGTACTTTTACTATAACTAAACTGTCCTTCTCCAGGGGCCAGCAGAGGCCTTCAATGCATTTTATTGGCCTGCTTTGAACTGCCTGTACTCTTCCAGTCCATCTGCACTTTAACTTATGATGAAAACAAGATGCACTGCAGTTCTTTTACAAAGCCAATGATGCTTAGAAATGTAGTTGATCTCAACTCATGAGCTGAAAGAGAGGCGGAGAAGGTGCCACATGAGAGAGTGAGAGAAGTGATGGAAAGATAACCCTGCTGCTGCTCTTTGCTATTCTCTCGGGGGACGCCATGAATCAGAAACACATGTTGCAATGTGCCCTTGGCCATGGGGAGCAGATGAGACTCGGGCCGTATGTTACCGTAGCGGTTAGAAATCCCTGGAGGACAGGGCTCTGGTCTAATTTGGTCTCGCTTAAGGCGCCAAAACAAGATGAGAATCCACCTTTGAAATGAAAGTCAAGCCTGATAGCCAGCTAGCAATCCGTGACTGAATTATCTTTTTTTTTATATAATTTCTTTTGTGTTTGTTTTTGTGTTGTCGTCTGCAGAGCTTTCACAGCTGAACAGGACCTGGGTGTTCGAGGGACATGGAGCAGCAGCCCTTCAGCCTCAGACCATGCTGCTTGATGAAGGCCACGAGAGGCTTTATGTCGGGTCTAAAAACGCTCTGTTCTCTCTTAGCCTGGACCGGGTTGACGCACACCACAGTGAGGTAAAGGCACGTTTTCATCTGTCCTCCTTGGCCTGAAAGGAAGTGAGACATATTAAATTGACACACCCAAAGAGCGTAGGTTAACCAAACTGAGGTTAAGCACTTGGACATTTTTCTAATCAGTGTCAATAAGGGTTCTTTGGACACATTTTTAATTATACATTTATGTGCACTGGAAAAAAAAACATTTTCTGTCCTCCTTGGCCTGAAAGGAAGTGAGACATATTAAATTGACACACCCAAAGAGCGTAGGTTAACCAAACTGAGGTTAAGCACTTGGACATTTTTCTAATCAGTGTCAATAAGGGTTCTTTGGACACATTTTTAATTATACATTTATGTGCACTGGAAAAAAAAACATTTCTGACTGTCTTTCTTTTTTTTATTCAGGATTTGATAAACCCTGTTGTGTCTTCTTTCAGATCCAGTGGTCCAGTACAGAATATCAGATCGAGGAATGTTTGATGAAGGGGAGGGAAAAGGTAAAGGACAAACTCTTATGGCTCCATACAGAAAGTGATAATTTCTAGGAGATAGTAGTACGACTAAGATGGACGATCAAGGCCACAACATAACAGATAATGTGAAGTAACTTGTGTAAAATAAATGTATGATAGAGGTAGAAAGTTCCATTAAAGATATGGATATTGTAAAGGTTGTATGGGTTTATTTATGTATCTGCCTGTGATCATTAACCGTTGTTTAACCGATGTGTTGACATTATTGATGATGCTGTAAAAATCCTGGCATTTTGCAAATCCACAATTATCCCTGCTTGGCCTCAATTTGCCCTCATGACCCCTCTACCCAATCATCTCTATCTCATCCGACAGCCGGAGTGTGCTAACTACATCAAGGTCTTGCAACAGTACAACCAGACACACTTGCTGGTATGTGGAACAGGAGCCTTCAACCCAATCTGTGGATTTGTCACAGTGGGAAACACACAGCAGGTGAGTCCAAAGATCAAACAATTGTTTTGTATAACAACAAAAAAATTGAGTTTTATTCAAAGGTTCCTCCAGCCAGAGGGTTGGCAGTTTATATATGTTTTGGTTGCGATCCAGGTGGAAAGTCCGTATGAAGCTGATTATTTCTCCACCTGTTTTAAAAACTGGGGTGAGCATCCCATGTCGCAAAGAGCTGGCAGCAATTTAAATCAAATGTTGAATATTTCTTCATTAAACAGTTGGCAACGTTTCCTACTGCTCCCCTCTCTACCTACACCGTTCCCTATTGTCATGACCGTGGCCAAAAACGTCTTTTTATATGTTTTCGGCCACAAGCTCCCACGACTGTTAGTTCAGCTTGGACTGCTGAGCGGTTAAACCCTTAGCACATGCTGCTGCAGTTGAGTTAATCGTACTAGAAACAACAGATGACTTGTTGAGCAGAGGAATAAGACAAGCGAGTAAGATAGGAGGAACTTTAACTTTCAACTTTATTTTATTTTCCCTGAGGGGAAATTTGTTTCAATTTTAAGTCAGACGATAGAGAATTATTTGACAAAAGCTGCTCCATCCATAATTTTTTTAAAAAGTGACACAAATACAGTCCAGGTAGGTTGGGAGAACAGGCCAGGTGCAGGAGCAGGTTTCTCATTTAGAGGTCAGTTGGAATGTGTGCGTGACAGCTGCTGGAAGGGTTTTTTGCGCGAATGATGGTGTCTATACAAAATTGCCTGCATACATTTGTGCAAGAATTTTTTTGTCCAACACACATCTCCAAAGATGTCAAACATGAAACCATCCTAGGTGTGTGTCTTGTCTTCCTGTGTTTGTGTCTGGGTTGTATTTAGTTAAGAGAGAGGGGAAAGGAGGAGGAGGTTTCCTCTCTGCTTTCCAGGTCGAGCAGTCAGTCACACCTCCCGAACGAAAACAACATTCAATCATTTCTCATATCTTTGGAATGCTAATAGAGTGACCCACACTGGATCAGTATGAGCAACGTAATCTCTTTACAAGACTGCCTCACATACATGTCATGCTTTGTGTATGGAATTTCATCTACCATAGGCTCAAGCTGAATAATATTTAGATAACGGGAAAATATTTCAGTAGAAAATTCTAGCGCTGTTAATCAAACCAACCAAAGACTAATAAAAACGATGTATTAATGCACTTCTGGCCCAGACGTCCAAAAAAGAAAGACCACATTTCATAGTCTTGCATGTAAATTAATATGGATTCAGCCTACTGTATTTTACCGGTTTCCAGTTTGTCTTTGATGGATCACATTAAATGATAGATGAGTTTAACCCACAATCTGACTTCTGTTACAGTCGTATGCATGGGTGATAATCCCAGCACGGTAGGGTTCCTGTAGTACTCATAAATCAATATATGACACCCCCTCTGATCTGCAAGTGACAGTCATAAACACTGTGACGGACCCGAACATATGAGCTGTGATTCTGCAGGGGGGTTTGGGGTACAAATGTGTGTGTGTGTGTGTTTCTCTGCCACCTGCTGTTCAGGGCTACAAGATCAGGAGAGTATAGAAGCAGTGAGTCATGATAGAAGAGCAGAACATAGTTGGTTTTACAGATTCAGACAACAGTTCCTCTTTTGGTCATCCATCACTCCCTGTCTCATTTATCTTCCTTCCTCCTACTCATCCATCACTTTCTGATTCCACATCTTTCAATGTCAGTGCTTCTCAAACATTGGGTTTGACGGATTTTGTTGACGCCTTTGCAAGTGTGCAGCTTCAGTGTGTTTTCTGTTCATACATATTTGTGCACTACTAGCTTTGCCTGCGTCTATGTGTGTGTTTTTTTGTGTGCTGCCCTCAGGACAGGCACTTTGCTCTGGAAGACAACAGCATTATAAGTGGAAGAGGACGCTGTCCATATGACCCCAACAGCCCCTGCACATCTACGCTGTCCAGTAAGACGCTGCTCACTCTATCACTCACCATAAGTTAAACTAAAAGAACAAATGTGAGACTTTCATTTTTGCTCTGAGCATTTCAAAGAAGACACATTTAGCTGACCTTTAATGAGGCAACACTGCCATCTTGTGGTTATGCTTCACGCCAGTATTTCATCAGTGTAACAGGATTATCATTGTTTTTGTATCATCTCTGTGTGTGTTTGGTATGTGTACTTTAGGGGGAGAGCTGTATATTGGCTTATACACTGATTACTGGGAGAACGACGGAGCTTTGTGTCGACTTAACAACCAGACCTACACACGCACTGAAAGAGACGACCGGCAACAACTCAATGGTACGTGTACAATATGGAAAATCATCTCATATTGAGGGTTAAAAACGATTGTATTCGTGGTTACAAATCCAAAGTTTGTTTTCAAAAGTAAGTGTCCAGAAAACTGGATTCCTTTTCTGATCATGATCATAATTTTAAGTTTTGTACTCTTTTCACGGTTGTATTATTATTAACAAAAATGTGAATTAGTGATGGTTCTACGTATGGAGCCATAAGCAAGGGTCGCTTTAAGTGTTAAATAACACCACCATATCTCCACACAAATGACATTTTTCTCAACCGTGCTTGACAATATAGAATTATTTTTGATTTCCTACCATAAACGACCTTAATGAGATGACATTTCATCATTTCATTGCATTTCATTTTCAATGTATTTGTTCCGCACATGGCAATACACACAACCCTTTACAGAAAAAGATTCACAATCCATGTTTGGAAATGAGCACGGAGAAGAACAAATCTTGTTTTGCCTTCCCTCACTCAAAGAAGAAACAAGTGACCCCTAGAAGGTCTGTCCAGTTAAAAGCACTTGGCAACAAATACCACAGCAATGAAAAAAAATCACACTAATTCAGATTCTTTGACTTTCCTTCCACATAAAGAGACAAAAGAACACAAAAAACACATAATTTCATACAGTCTAGTAATTCTCGCCTTGTACAGATGATATAATCAGTTTATAAAGGTTCCTTGTATGCTCCACTATACCTAACTGTCCTTTACTTGACATTTCATTTCTAGCCTTTTTGTTTCAAACGTTTCCTCCTACAGAACCTACATTTGTGGGCTCAGCAGTTATTCCTGACAACGATGACAGGGACGATGATAAAGTTTACTTCTTCTTCACCGAGCGTGTGGTGGATCCCGAGGGAGTGAACAAAGCTGTGTATTCACGCGTTGGCCGAGTCTGTGCGGTGAGAACGCTAACACTATATGGAGACATTTATTCTGAACATGCGCCAGCCTTTAAGTACTGCTCTCACTTTCTATATCTGCCTTCATCTCTCAGAATGACCAGGGAGGGCAGAGGATGCTGGTGAATAGATGGAGCTCCTTCCTGAAAACACGACTCATCTGCTCTGTGGCCGGACCAAACGGCATCGATACACACTTTGATGAACTGGGTAGGACTTCAAGGAGACTATTGTCACTCTACAGTATCTTAGTACACATCTGCATCTGCCTACATTTAAGATATAAAGAGTCAAAATCATTTAACCTATCCTATGTATTTCTTGTATTACATGTTTACTCTAGACAGAGACACTTTACATTGTATAAAGGTGTGTTTCATACAGTATAATCACCTGTCTTTGAGGGAATCATGGGTAACACAGGAGGGCCCTATTGTGTGGGGAAGGCAGTGTACAAGCTGTGCTGACAATACTTACACGACTATTTCATTATAGGGAATAAACATGACATGATACCTTACCTCTGACTGGTTTATTGTTTGATCATGCTGCCTCTGCTCTACGGTTTATGTCTATTTGTTTATTCTCTCCTTGTTGTTTTCTCTGTTTTATCGCTTTTCTCCCCTATCTTAATTGTTTTCCTTTCAAAAGCCTCCTGTGGACCGGTGTTGAGAACTAGCATGCGAAAACACTTAAACAATGCATCTGGTTCGTCCAACGTATCTGTGGTGTCCATGCCAAATAAAGTCTATTATTATATGTTCTGCCTGTGACATGTCAGACGTGCTGTCATCAGAACTGCTGAACGAAAACAACCATTGCCATTAGCCCACACTACTTTACAGTATCATTCATCTACATCTTTTTGTTATAAATTATTTGTTTTAAAGACGCCCAGCAGCAGAAATTACGATTTAAATATTAGTTTTGAAAAATGCTCTTACCCGTTTGGATTAATCTTATAGGAGAAGGAAAACATAATTTCCTTGAACAACATTTTAAAAATTCACCCCAACGAACCTGTGAAGCCTAGCACAAAATTATAGTATAATTAAATTGCTCATGTTAACATGCTCAAAATTATATACTAACGTTTAGCATGTTTTAATATGTATCACGTTCACCATGCCAAATGTTGAGATATTTACCTTAGAACAGAAATGTTTCAACTTTGTGTGGCTAACAAACAACGACTAATTTCTACTTTTTTCTTCTGTTTCAGAGGACGTGTTTGTGCTCAACAACAAGGAGAAGAAAAACCCGGAAATATTTGGCCTATTTAGTACAACCAGGTGAGTGGAGGATGAAATCATCTTTTCATCATACAGTCAAAATGTTTATGATCCATCACATGACTGATGGAAACCCTCTTTTACAGTGCGGTGTTTAAAGGCTATGCAGTGTGTGTCTATCACATGGAGGATATCAGAGCTGCCTTTAATGGTCAGTTCGCCTACAGAGAGCGGCCTGAGCACCACTGGACTCCTTATGAGGACAGAGTCCCGTACCCTCGACCTGGATCTGTGAGTTTCATAATGAAGAATTGTTTCATGGGGATTTCATTACTCGACGCGTCCATTATGCATTCACATCACTCTCCTTTAGTTCTGTGTTCACGCCTGACGTCCTCCGAGTGGGACAGTGTAGAGAGCATGTCAGACAGCACTTGTGAATGTCAGCACTGTTGTAGCTACCTCAACGGGTCAGAGAGGGACAGACTGAGCTTCACTCAAGAATGTCAGCCCTTTTTTTTGTTTTCTCTCTATACTGCAAAAAGTGCTCGGGCAATTTTTGACCATCTCCTGTGTCTCTGATCCACCGCTTCACTTCCTCTACTGCTCTCACACCACCTTCCTTTTTTTTTTTTTTTTTTTTTTTATGACCAATATTTTTATTGTTTTCAAATGTTTTACAACAGTACAATACCAGACAATAAATGATATAGAACAATACCCAACAAGGGTAACACAATCAATGCAAGACAAAAAAAAGAAGACAAACAGAAAAAAAAAAACAGACCTGACAAACAAAGATTATAATTAAGTTAAATTAAATACAGGGATAAAGCAGGACGATTAAAATATATGTAAATAAATAAAAACGTAAAAAATAGAAAAAACAAAATTCCACAACCACAACATGATTATTTCAGATTAGGCTGCATGGAAGTGTTAAGTTGTTCACCTTTTACATCAAATTGTCACACCACCTTTCTAACAGTGTGCCAGTAAAGTGAACGGAGGAGGCTTCTCCAGCTCGAAGGAGTTTCCCGATGAGGTTCTGCGATTCATACGCTCTCACCCCGTGATGTATCGTCCGGTCTTCCCTCAACACCGCAGACCTGTCTTGCTGCAGACAGAGCCGGGCGGGAGGAAGCTCACCCAGATCGCCGTGGACAGAGTCCAAGCCCAGGATGGACATTACCATGTTCTCTACATTGGCACTGGTACATACGCCCCTTTAATTATTACCTCAAGCATGACTTTTGTTATTTTTGCAAAGTAAAAAACTCTTGAGAAACTTCAGCTCACACAAACACTCAATGCAACATTTTTGATGGCATATAAAAATGTATAAGTTAACACAATAGAGGATTTGTTGCTCTGAGACAGTTTGGAAACCTAAACTGTTCCACTGAAGGTGAGAAGGAAGGTGTTTTTTTTTAGATATCCTGTAAAAGATCATGATAATGTGTTCTTTCATCAGATGACTCCATGGTGTTGAAAATTATCACTATCTACAACAAAGACACAGACACTATGGAGGAGGTGCTGCTGGAAGAGCTGCAAGTCTTCAAGGTAGTCTATGTTTAGCTACTAAATGTGAGAGCCAAAGTAGACTTTGTAACCAAGGAAATGTTGCTTTTATTGCACACATCTCAGAGTCCAATGTTGCTGCACAGAGACAATCAGAGGGTGTGTCTAGAAAAACTCTGATTGCTGATTTGCCTGTTTTCCATCATCAGAGGGGTGTACTGTAAGCATGATTGTACAGCCCACCTGCGGAGATATCGTCAGAAGGATTTGAATATATTGATTCTACAGAGATTAGTCACATTTCACATTAGTCTCTGCTGCCATTTAAATCTTAAAAAATTGATTTGAGGGGGATTAGATGCAATGAAGCCTGACTGGAGGCCTGCAGTGACAAAAACGCTTTTTTTTTTCTTGTTTCATTATTTTTTTTTCCAGTAAATGATGAACCATTTTTCATTTGTGAATAACAGAAGGTTCTTTTTGATTTGCAGGTGCCAGTGCCTATCAAAGAGATCATAATATCACCTAAAAGGGTAAGAGGACCGGCTGATTTTTTATAATCTTGTTCAATCATGCAATACTGTTTTTAAGCCACAAGATGTTAACATTGCAACACTTTCATTACTTTAAATCAAATCAAACTGTATTTGTATAGCACTTTTCATACAACGAATGTATCCCAAAGTGCTTTACATCAACATTTAATCAAACAGCAACAACATTAAACTAAATACTAATTCAACTTTCTGTTCCTATTGGTCCACAGCAACAGTTGTATGTGGGGTCAGAGGTGGGTGTGGCCCAGGTCAGACTGCATCAGTGTGACCTCTACGGCTCTGAATGTGCTGATTGCTGTCTGGCCAGAGACCCTTACTGTGCCTGGGATGGTGTCACCTGTTCCAGATTCTACCCTGCTGGAGTCTTCACCAAGAGGTAATATAGCACACACTGTGAGACAGAAGCCATCTTTTCTCCCTGCAGATGTGTGTATCTGTGTGTGTGTGTGTGTGTGTGTGTGTGTGTGTGTGTGTGTGTGTGGATGCCAGCTGTTCACACCTTTACCAGTTCCATTATGGCATCTTGCCCTGAATGTCACACTGCTCCGAGTCTGTTTCATCCAGCCATTATCACCGTCTGTAAGATAGACGTGTCAGCCAGGTCTTACGTAAAGTCTATTAGCATGCACTTGATCACTCCTCTTCCTAGTTCTATTTTTTCCTCTCTCCTTCTTCCTCTTTTTTTGCTTTCTTTTTTCTTTTTGCACTTCCATCACGTTAAAAATTACCCCATCTCTCTCGTTCCCATCTCAGTAGACGATTCAGGCGGCAGGATATTCGCCATGGCAACGCCGTCCAGCTGTGTAATGGGCTGCAAATTGACAGTAAGTGTATGAAATGACTAAATGATGTTTTGTTTTTGTATGTGTGCATGGAAGGGCTTGTGTTTATTTACCAGTATTGCAACATTTTGCCACACAATAGCACTGAAAACAAACACTTTGAACACTCCATGTGTGATTGGAATTGAGAGGATGTTTTTCTTCTGCTGACAGTAGATACGGGTGGAATAAACCATCCAATGTTTTTTTTTGGAGAATAAAAGGTCACGGTGGTCTCTTGTTCTCTATTTAACTTCACTATCTTTCATGAAATGTTTGTTTTTTTGGTGTGTAGATGAACAATGGCAGAGAGCAGAGGAGAGGTTTGTTTACAGTGTGGAGAGCAACAGCACTTTACTGGAGTGTGTCCCCCGATCACTTCAAGCCAAGGTCCTCTGGTTCTTACAGAGAGGGGAAGAAAAACACGAGGTGAGCAAAAGAAAAAGGACTAAAAAATGAAAATGTATTACAAACAAAAGAAAAGGTAAAGATAAATATACGCTGCAGAGGTAAAAGATAAGTTGCAGAGGGAAGTTGAATTCAGTTCAAAAATAATTCAGGAACTTTCTTCTTCTGTGAACTTTCACAGAACTTTTTTTCTTTTTACATCTAAAGAACTGTCTAGCCATGCAGATAGAGCAAGTCTGACTTAAAGATGAGATTTCTGCTACTACTTCAGTGCAGTTGGGCTAAATGGAGTTACATTTCTAAATCTAAAAAATCTATTTTTAAAAAACTATACTGTGCAATCTATCTATTTTAATTTTAATTTTTCTTTTTTTTAATTTGAATTGTACTGTGTTCATTTTTTGTTTGCAATCTTTGCTCTTTGCTGCTGTAACACTGTAATTTCCCTGTTTTGGGATAAATAAAGGATTATCTTATCTTATCTTATTTGTGGACCTTAGAGGATTAAAGTAATTACACGGACGACTTTTGTCCCAAGCTTCTGAGAATGTAGTGTAGTGTTTAAACCTGAAATTTCGATGAAAAAAGCTACACAAATAAAATGTTCCTAGTCTTGGTTGAAAAGATTAAGCAGTTAAATGTTACTGAAAATGTTTTATTGTTCGATCTTAAACATTATAATTAAACAGCCGGTGTTCATGCTGCAATTAGAAACGTGGTGTTTAATATACCAGGTTCAGTCAATAAATCAATGTATTGTGATTAGTAACAAATTCCTTCCAGTCCAGTCATTAATTCTTTACTTTATTTGTCCTGTGGGTGTTTTCATCAAACTCCTCATGGGATATGAGAAAATGCAGCGTCTGAGCTGCCTTATGAATCACTTGGCTTTTTTCCCTCCCTGTAGGTTCGAGGTGATGAGCGGGTAATCGTGACTTCCCACGGGCTGCTGTTTTTGCAAGTGAGAAGCTCTGACGCTGGTGTGTACGTGTGCCAGACCGTCGAACATGGTTATGTGCACACATTATTACGCACCACTCTGCACGTGCTCAGAGGAGAGAGGGTGGAGTCAGCGATACACAGAGCAAACGACGGGGAGGGAGAGAAAGCCGCAGCTCTGTGCCAGTCCTTCACTGGCCTTCCTCCTGGCCCCAGCGTCAGCCCCAGGGTCCTCCTGGTCCCCTCCTCGGGCCCGGGCCCCAACTCCAGGCTGTGGTACAAGGAGTTCCTCCAGCTGATTGGCTACGGGGACGCCCAAAGAGTGGAGGCGTACTGCGAGAGAGTGTGGTGCTCGGATAAAAAACGCAAAAAGGCCAAAAAGAAGTACGCTCCTCCTGCCGGTGAGAGAAGAGGGAAGGGGAGGAGGGAGGAGAACTCCCACCGAGCACCCAGGCACACCTCGGACACCTGAGGAGCACACGCTGACTGCACATATACACACATGCACGCACACATAGAGTCTAAAGGTCAGTGTTCGCACCATGTAAAAAAAATAAGGTTTCACTTTGCTTTAAAACAAGTGCAGTAACAGTAGAGCAACAGTAGCAGGCTGTCCTGCTATTATACCTCCATTTATCACTCTCTAGTTAGTATTTTACAAAGCGGTGTTTTGCCTTTTTTTGTGTGGTGTAAACTGATTATCTGGTGCAGACACTGTGTAAGCACTTAAAATGTCAGTGTCAGCGCAGAGCAGAGCAGAGCAGAGGCCTTGGTAGGAGATGGACGACTGATTAAGCGGCGTCGCCTCTGATCTGAAGAGACAGAATACAACAAATCAGCTCCTGTGGACTGACCCAGCCTGACTCTGGTGTCAATCAAAACACACACACACAGACTGCTACCCTACACCTCTGCTCCAACTCTCATTCCTTGACTCAACATGACAAAACCTACATATATATATATATAAATATCTACTATGAGAGAATAACAACATGTTAAAGAAAAGACCCTCTAAGCTCTTTTGGTACTATAACTTATTTTCTATGTCTCTACTTTGAGTTCTGTTGCTGTTTAGATGTCGTAAACTGGAAAAGGTAGTGCTGATGTTTTTTGTACAGTTAAAATAAGCCGTGAGCTGTGTGATACTGCTAACTGTATAATGTGGAAACTTAGGGTTACATTGGCCACAATGCATTCATTAAGATGTTGCAATGCCAATAATAATGGATTATATGAGGCTTGTTTTCATTATAATTGGGCCCTCAATGGAAATAAATGCTACTTTGGAGCTTGTTAAAACAGTTAAGAGTCGATGAAAAGAACTCCTTTAAAGGCTTAATATGTGATTTTTCACACTTAAATATATTATAAATCAAGTATATCCTCTGAAAATAACTCTGTGAGTCATGACTGTCTACAATGGGTGTAACACCCGAGTCCCACTGTCTGTGATGTTTTCAGAGTTTTCAGAGTCCTATCTTCAGTTTGTTTACATCGCCAGGACGGCCAGCTGACTCCTCCCCTCGAGTATAAAAGTTGTTTAACTGAGGGACTAGAGAAAAGAAGAATAACATACTGTACTCACTGCTTAACTGTGTTTCTAGATCACGCTCATTTCAGGTAAATTTACATGCAGTGTGAAGATACCAGCATAATAAAGATCGCTAGCATTAGCATGCTAGCACAACAATGCAGCGCAAGTTGTTTTGGTTTCATGCTGGTACTCAAGGGCGACATCTGCTGGATGAAAAAATCACATATAAAGCCTTTAAGATGTTGCAATGCCACTATAATAGACATATGAGGCTTGTTTTCATTATATTTGGGCCCTCAATGGAAATAAATGCTACTTTAGAGCTTGTTAAAACAGTTAAGAGTCGATGAAAAGTGCTCCTTTAAGTGGTTATTGTTGTCATTGTAAGTGTCTACATTTACAGCTACAGTTGTGATCAAAGGTACCAGCAGTGTTGTGTGTAATGTATATTTTATTTATGTAAAAGTGAGGGTGGTCGTTTGATGCCAGTATGGAAAATATAACTGTCTTTTCAAAAAAGTGACTTGTCTCTGATGTCCCCCCCCCCCATTTCCCCTCTTTCCTGTCTCCTCTCTCTCGCTTCCTCTGTTTCTCACCCTTAATTTATCTCCCTTCTGTTCGACTGTAACAATGTTGCAAATGGACTTTATAATTAACACTACACGCAGCACATTTCCTTCAGATGAAAAGGAGGAAGAGATGTTGGGTTGACCATCCGAGCGTGTCGTCAGCAAATCAAACAATGAACAACCAGCTGAGATCACAACAGAGAGAGATGTTTTCTTCTTTATCCATACTGTGCCTTATTTAACCACTAAGTCAAAATGTATAGTTTTGACTTTGCTGTCTTTTGCTGAATCATAATGTGAGAATAACAAACAAACAAACATAAATAATGATCTCTGCCGCTCATCACTCTCCTTGAATATCCTCCAACTGAGCTTAAGATTGAGAATGTTGTGTCTGCTATACCCTTTATAAATAACTGCCATTAAAAAAAAGATGGGCCATCTTTCGCTGGTGTCACCTCTGTGGTTTAGCAATCAATAACGACAAATACACACACACACACACACACACACACACACACACACATGCACACATTGCGAGAGACTTACCCAGTGAAGCAGAAAAAAAATGAGGCATAGAGCCTTGATATAAACTTAGATTACAACCGAAATCAACCTGAATAAACTGATGGATCTTCTGTTCTAATTTAATTTAAGTTGTACTTCATCACAGAGGCAAACATTGTACTGAACTTGTTTTGTTTTTCTGATAATATTGAACACACCATATGGCAGTAAAACACAAAATCTAATTCAACCATCAACTACTGGTTATGTTTTGTTTTTTTTTCCCCCCACAGTGGGATGCCCATGAGGACTCCACACTCATTCAAATTCTGGTCTAGGTCTATACCTGAGTCGGTGGGGTGCTGAAGGCGTTCTAGAATGGAATGCATGCTTGCTGATTTATTCCACATGGCTACCATAGCAACAGGCTCTGAACCAGTTCAGCTTCGCTCCTCATCAAAGCTCTCTCGTCTCTCTCTCTCTCTCTGTCAAGTTGGAACATTGTTACTCTGGCCCCTGAGTCCCTCCAGCTACTGGTCCCTGCAGCAACTCATACATCACACTCTCGTATATGAAACTGGTCCTCTTAGTTAAGCTTTAAAAGGGGGCTGTCTTTTTCTTCTGGGACTGGAGCTGGCTTTTTTAGCTGGATGGTGCTTCTGACCCCACATGCAGATGCCATCTGATCAAATTTGTTTTTTTTTTGTTTTTTTTGCACTGATGCAAAAATAGAGCTTAAATCTGGAGCTGCACTTTTTTTTTCCACCAGAATCATACATTTGAAGCTCCAAGAGACCAATTTAGTGTAATGAAATGCTGTAAATCCACCCATTGATCCACAAAAGGGAGCAAAAGGTTAAAGGCCATCAAATAAACGGACTGCCGCACATTTTCCCATCTCCTTGAGAAGATGACAGTGCTTATCATTTTTGGTCTTTTTTCAGGGCCTCTTTTGTTGTCCCCACACAGCACTTCTAGTTCTATCAGAAGCCAATGCACCAGAACGCTTTATTACTAGAGAAAATGTCAGATAGGGGAGGAGGGCTAGTGGGGTGGAAAAAAGAACATTGGAGGAAATGTTGAAGCAGTGAACGAGCCTCTGCAACTGGTATAACCACACATGTTGTCAATGTGCACAGTACTGTATGTAAGAAGGATTGCATGTTTTTTTTAACACAATCAGTCATGGAGTGGTAGCATAGAAAAGGCTGAAAGCTCAGGAGATATGAACATATAGATATCTACCTTCTCTGTTTTTTCTTTGATATAAGTTAAAGCAAACCTCATAGACATCTAAAGCACCCCCTAAAGCAACTATTCATTTCACGTTCACTTCATAAAAACTGACCTCTATGATCCAGATTAAAGCCTCTTGGAACAACATCAGAATCAGAATCAGAATCAGAATGAGGGTTTATTGCCAAGCACATTTACACATGAATTTGACTTGGTGTATTGGTGCTAAACAATTAACAAGGAAATAAAGCAGAACTAGCAACAACTTAAATAGTAAAGTACAAGAAGCTATTACAATATATAAAATAGTAAAATAGAATTTAAAAATGTAAAATTAAAAAATGTAAAATATAAAAAATAAAAATTAAAAACACAAAATGTCCAAAAGGTGCAATGTAGGAGCCGTGCAGTGGACTATGAGAAAAAAAATCTTAGTGTGTGTAATATGTAATATGTGACATGATCCATTGCTCACAGTGATTTTAGTATGTCCATAAATCTAAACTTGTTGGATTTGCTCCAATCTATGACCATTTTTTTAACCTTTTTTTTTGTTTTTTTTTCCACATGTTCGCACAAAGTAAGCCTTTATTCCTATCTGCTGATGTTTTCCAAAACGTACCGCAGACGCGACAAGTGAAGGTTAAACATCAAACACAGTTCTCCCTACATCCAAAAAGTGATCTGATAAGCGAAAAGGGGAAAGCATTATCAGTGGTGGTGCAGGCAGTAGCTTGCCCTGCATATCAGCTTAGGACAAAAGAGACTCAGGCTTCAAAGCAAGGTGTATATTTGTCACCAATAAACAAGATGACTACATACAGACAGAGGGAGAGAGATAAGCATGCAAAATACACCAAATAAATAAAGGGGATATTAAATTAATACAGACATCAAGGTTGCTGTACACAGAAGTGATGTGTCAACATGTTCTATGTGTTATCTCACTGGAACAGCTGTCACTGAGGGGCAGGCTTTTCCTGTAACACTCAGTACATTTAATAACCAGCACAAAGAGAATAGTTGGAATGACCCCCTGCAAAATGTGATTTCCATGCAGGTGTCTCTTTGTTCATCTGTTTGTATTCATAATCTCTAAATCCATAAATAATACATCATTTTCTCCTACGTATGCTTCCTAAAGGCATACAGGAAACTCACTCAACCCTCATAAAGATGATTCACTGGGCTGCATGTGTCTCACTCCATGTTGCTTTGGAGTTTGCACATATGAAAGATGCTCTCGTACCTCACAACACACAACGGGCGTAGACAGGACGGCCGAGGGAGTGCGAAAGATGGGAGGCATAGATCATCTGGGCTTTTCTCTGCTGCCGGTAGCCGAGAGAAAGCGAGAGAAGGGGAAGGCTGAGTCAATGAGAGAGGATGTGTGAAGAGAGAGAGAGAGAGAGAGAGAGAGAGAGAGCAGTCAAAAGAAAACCATGAGAGGAGGAGAAAAAAAAAAGAGAGAACAGAGGAACTTGTACTTGGGGAAAATGTGTGATGTGGATCTCTGCTCTTCTCACCTTGGGGATTCTTTGCCTCCCCATGGGACACATACAGCTTTGAATTATGCTGCTGCCTTATCTCGCAACCTGAACTCTGAGTCTGTCAAGAGGAAGTGGGACAGGTGTCTGATGCGAGAGAGAAACGCAGATGCCCCCAAAACAAAGTGAAAGCAAACACATCAGACAGGAATAAATAAGAAATGTGTTTAGAAGAAGGAACGCTCAGATGCTCTTATTTCTGTTTGATACACCTCCAGCAAAATCTCTGCATATTTATCTGTATCTATATTAAGTGCGTTCATATGTTTCATCCTGCATTTTAAAGAGGACATATATACCCGTATATTATACCCCTTTTCTACCTTTTCAAACAGTCCTGTGGTGTAAATGAAACATCTGTGCTGTGCTTTGCTCAAAATATAACATGAATCAAGCACCAGAGGAGGTTTGTGAGCCTGTATAAACCAGCTCTCTTAAAACGCTCTGTTTTAGTGTGTGTGTCTCTTTAAACCAATGAGCCCCTCCCCCCCTGAGTTTTCCCGGTACTTCATTCCTCTGTAGCGAGAATAAAAATGTCGGACCTGCGCAAAAGTTTTGTTCTAGGCTGGAGGTGGAGTCCATGGGTGGAGATTTTTTTTTTACTGGAATCCCACTGTGACATCACAAGGAGAGCGCATTTGAAACGGAGCATTTGTCTCTGTGTTGTAAGACTTAGGCAGACCACAAATAAAGGACTGGATGTGTTTATTGCACATTTTGTGGGTTGCTAGACGCTCAGGTTACCCCAAATATATGTTCAGGTGTATTTTCCATAATATGTCCCCTTTAATGTTCAATGAGAGTCTTGCCCATTTCATGAATCTTTATGCACGTGTGTGACGCAGTGAGTGCTGTGTCATTAATCTGGGTGTAATCACTACATTTTTTGTGTTCATGTGGGGGTTGATCCCTCCCTCTAATCCGTCTCTTTATCCCTGCATCTTCATCATTACATCACTCAGACCTTTGCACCCTGGCGGCGGCCCCAGCAGCTGGCCGAGGCTG